TGAAAGAGGCATTTCCACAATGGACATCTGCTCTTTAGAAAGTGCACTATAGGACTCTTCCACTTCGTGACCCACCATCCGGACGCATACGCGAGAGTTCCCAGTTGACATGCATCTCCAGTTCACATAAGCTCGCAGGGAGGTAGCCTTGTTTTTCTCCTCAATTGTTACCAGATAGTCTCCTGAAAAAAGGAGAGCAACAGTACAATAACAATACTACAGCATAGCCTGGAAAGAATTTGTACTCTTGTGTATGCTGTTGCTGCAAAGGCACAACATAGTTTAATGAAACAGAATTGTGAATTTGAGGTATTTGTTTAAATTAGGTAGAAATATTTCAGTGAGACCTCTCAGGGACAGCATGCGCTTAGAGGTCTGTAGAGGCCTACGGTACCTCAGTGAGGATGAGGATGCAGATGTGCAGGCAAGGAACACTATACGGTTACTTACAACTCCACTCAATCTAGACTTCAATAGGTGTACAAGAAATAAAGGCTCAAATGTTTTATTCCCTCATCCTGATATTACTTTCTCCTACTGCCCAGACAATGCTCTGGAAACCTTTTCTGAAACTCAAGTTAGCGCAATACAGCTGCCGAACCCATTAAATTTGCTCCAAGAATGGAGCAGGCAAGTACCTCTGGCCCTTTCCAGACAGATCAGCATAACGCTGCAATTCACTCTACTTCTAAACTGTTTCCCACAACAACAGGGAAGAATCACCTGGAGCCGAGAACAGTGTTCCTTTTACTAAAAAATAAAGGAATTGTAGCAAGTCCAAGGAGGGTCCATGCAGCAAGTGTCCTCCTCGGATTTGCCCTTAATTGATTACTAGGTTTACGCTGCAGACAAGGATTTACAAGTGGATGAGCAGAAAGGCACAGCTAGTCGCTCGTTTGGGGAAGAAAACCAAACGACGGGAAGTTTGCCAGGGAGTCTTAGCTCGTCTGGAAAGCGCCCGGCGCGGAAGCGCTGCTCGTCGTGGACTCGTCGTGACACCGGTCCTGCGGCACCAGGGGCCTCGGCTGCTCGGAAACCCGAGCTGGAGGGTCCCCGCCAGGCAGGAGGCCCCGCTACGCGGCGCCGAGGGCCCGGTGCAACTGCTCGTGGGCCAGGGCTCCGCTCCCCTGCCCCGGCACGGCCGAGCGCGGCCGGCGATGCTCCGCAGGGGGAAGCCCAGCGCGGACCACGGGGCTCAGCGCTGCCGCCTCCGGCTCCACACGCG